CCCCGCCCCAGCGCGACGAGGTCTCCACAGGCCTTCGCCCCGCCCCAGCGCGACGAGGTCTCCACAGGCCTTCGCCCCGCCCCTCGCCCCGCCCCAGCGCGACGAGGTCTCCAGAGGCGTCACCGGGTGCCTGACTCCCTCCTGGAGGTGTGCGTTGTCCACACTTGCCGTGCTGATAAAAAAGCCCGAAATAGTCGCCTTAATTGGAATGAGAGGAGAGCGTGTCTACAACGCTGTTTTCTTTGCCCTCTGGTGCTTGGGCGCTGTGCACGCTTGCACCGGCTTCAGCCTGCGCCTAAAACCCGCTCTGCTTTGCTCTCCTGGACGCGTGGACACTGATAAAAAACCCAAACACAGAAATAGACCATTTCAGGCTCACCATTAGGAAGAACTTCTTCAGTCAGGGTGTCCAGACTGTGCAAGAAGCTCCTTCCACAGGTGGTGCAATCGCCTACCCTGGAAATCTTCAGGAGGAGACTGGATGGATGATCTTGCAAGGTCCCTTCCAGTCCCTAAATCTATGAATACCTGCAAAAGTTAGGACATGGCCTTCTTAAATTTGGTTCTCCCCCCATTCCACAGCATCCAGGTTGCCGCCTCTAGGCCCTGACCGGGGCGGGGGGAGTTAACAGTGCAGTTACAAGTATGTATTTCACAAAGCAACTGCCTGAGCTTACTGTGACACGTGGGCACCTCTAATGAAACTCCTGTAAACTTCCAGCTGACAGGTGAGGCAAGACGTCGCCAGGCAGAGCTATTCATTTCACTTGACATCTCGGGGCATATTCCCGATTTCACCGGATGACTCGGAGGTCACCTGCCGCAGTTTGTCTCCTGGCTCTCGGAGGATGCACACTCCCATTTCAGAATTTGAAACCAGCTTTCTCCCCTCTTCAGGGCCTACTGTCCTCAATCTGTTTCCCCAAGAAAAGCTTTCCTACCCCCTTGTCCCTTTCCCTAAGGGTCCGGGGCCACAGGCCAAGCAAGCTCCCTCCTTTTCTAGGACTGGTTGTTTTCTCCCCTGACTTCCCCAGCCCAGGACTCCCTCACCCCACACTGCTGCCTCTGCTCCTCTCGGCTCAGGAGCCTGCAAAGGTCAGTCCTCTTGTTTCAAGGCAAGGACACCAGGTCGCTTCTTTTCAGCCCAGTTGCTTTTATCCCTTCAAGCGAGTCTAATCACCCCAAATATCTACCTGAGCCAGATGGAAGAGAAGGAAGCTTTATCTTTTTCTCTCTACAAGGCTCCCGGAGCAGTGGTCTTCATCTCTTTGTCTGAGACAAACTCCTCCTGGGAATCCTCCTTTTTTTCTCCTAGTGATTGTCATATTTCAAGCAATCCGCCTCCCTGGGCACATGGCCTGGGATAAGCAGCCTGGCACACCATCTTCTCTGGCCTTAATGAGTCACACTGGCCCCTTCACATAATCCTTGCCCCATCCTCTCCCTGAAATTGCCATGCTCCCTTTTGGTTGCAATGCAAATGGTTATGAGGGCTCAGAAGAGATTTATGGCATAAATAAATCATGGAGAAAGGGGACGGCACATGTCCTTTGTATGAAAGAAAAAAGGAAGACTATAAGATTGAAACCTTTCCTTTGGGCATATTAAGAGTCCTGCGTTGGTTGTGCCTTTCTTTTCCTTGCTTGCCCATTTCTCCTTCCCTCTTGTCCCTTGCACATCTGCCCCCCTCTTTCTGGCTCACCAGTTGCTTTTTCTGACAGTTCTCTTGCAGATAAGGCTTTTTAAATGTTGTGTGGTGCTGTGCATGCAAACTGGCCACGTTTCATGGAGTAAAGAAACATCCCCAGGGATAGGAAATGGTATTTGTAGCTGCGGAGTGGGCGAGGAAGAAGGTTGTTCTGCAGGATCCTCAGAGGGAGCAGGCTCCTGCACCCACTATATCGTGGGATGGAGTTGGAGGGAAAGGAGTTTTTATGGTAGACTGGAGCAGCTTCACTGACTCATCCAACCCTGCCCCGTGCCTCAATGCTCTCGTCGGGAACCTTTGGTTGTAACCCCGCGGGGGGGGGTCACTTCTTCCTAGTCACTGGTGTGGTGTTTCAGGTTGGTACTTCATGCCCTACTTTGGTGCTTCAGACACATCAGATGTTAGGTCTGTTTTGCCCCACCCTTGAACAGTTGGCTGTCACAGATACGTCATTTAGCAGGGTGGAAAAAAACATATCCCTTCACTGATAAAGCTATGCTATGCTGGCAAGAGCCCCAGGGTAGAGGTATTTATATGGGTAAAAAAAAAAGCTCATTTGTTGGCACTGTTTATTTTGCATGGAGAAACAGTCGAAACAACACTGGCAGGAAAACTCGTGTGCTGGAATTAGCTGTCTCCCTACTGGGAGCCGTGTTGACTTGTAGCTCTGCCAGTCAAGGGCAGGCAAGGCCCAGACAGGGACAGGACGTAAATTAGCACCGACACAGATTTTTCCACCAGGCATCAACTGCCCTTTGCAATGGGTTCATCAAAGCACAGTATGAAATGGTGCAAGGTCAATTTGAAAATAAAAACGGCAGGTTATCAGCAGCTCCTGGCACTCCCAGAAGCTGGTGCAGACTAATATATGACCCACCCTCCCTTTCTTACACGCTTTGATCTGCAGTGAAATAATTAGCGGCGTTGAAAATTAAGTTATCATAACTCACCATCTCAGCTACCACCTCATTGGGCTGGAGAGCGTGGTTTACACTATTGTTTGCGGCTTTAGCATCAGCTCACGTTAGAGGCTTTCCCTGCAACCAGGGCGTCTAGAGAGGCTTTGCTTCATTTATGATGGGAGTTTGCAGTTGGCGGGGGTACCCCGGACCCCCCTGGTTCCAGCCGTCTCTGGGGCTGCTGCTTCATGTGCTCTGCAGCCACGGATGCTGCCCAGAGTTTCAGCAGTGGGGATGTGGCATCGTTTAGGTTTTCAGGGCCAACATCAGGGGACACGTTGAGTAAGACTCTCCATGTGCTAAGAAATGGGCACATTCTTCTCTGGCTGACGGAGGAGGGAAAAACTTCAAAGGAGTGACCTTGCTGGTGACTGGGTTCTGGCTGCTGGCTCCGGTCTCAAGGCCAACCTGGAAGTGTGAAGACATGAGCTCATAGCAGCCCAAAGACTCAGACTCCCTACAGTAAATGACTGTAGGTGTCTTTGAGGTACAGTGCAAGGAAAAGATAAAGCACAACATTTACTGCTTTCCCCTCCCTCCATCCCTGTCCTGCCTGGATTTGCTTTACCATGCCCATTAATTAGTCACATCACAAAAAAGCCTCCATTGGTAAGGAGGAGAATATGAAGCTGTAGCAGCGAAGTGTTCATTTAGTGCAGCTGTTTTCAACCTCTTTGCCACAGTGGACCACGCTTGCAGCTCCCAATGTGTTATGCAGGCTGCACCTATGCAACTACCTGTATATCCATGTAAAAATGTTTTGTATCCATTATCTGACAGTAATGCAAGACAGATCAATATTCTGTGATACCTCTCATTTCTACATTGTCAAATGTCTTTACTTTTTTCTTTTTTTTTTTTAACAGGATGCCACATGAGCCGTAGCAATGTGCTGATTGGGCCTCGTGCGGCCTGCGGGTTGAGAACCACTGATTTACCGGCAAGTAGAACTGTGCAGACGACTGCTTTATGAATAGTGTTGGCTTCTCCTAATAGAAGCTGTAGGATGCTCATAATTCCTACCCTAAGGCCCTCTGCCCTGTCACTGAATTGTGCAGTAGCACGCAAGCTCAGCAGCTGCTTAAAGCATACACTCAGCTTGTTTGGATGGCAGCTGCCCAGTCACTTCCCTTGTGTGACAATACCCAGCTTTTGGATATTATGCAAACTTGCATAGGATGGTGTGCTGTTGTGTCAGTTGTACAACATTAAGCAAGTTCAGACAATATGAAGAGACCCCTGTCTCAATTATGCTAGCTGTCACACCCAGAATTCAATGAAGTTGCGGTTGCAGATTGCAGTGACACTGAGCTAAATGGATACCAAATTTTAGGACCCTATGGTAGCGTTTGCACGAGTAAGTATCATTCTTGCTAGTGTAGTAGCATCAGTGCAGTGTCACTAGCAGTACCGAGGGTACAGCCCAGCCCCTGATGTTTTGGTGAGCATATCTTTTACTTGCTGGTGTCATTAGAGTGGCAAGTAATTTTAAGAAGAATGCAAAAGTAGGGGAAACCTGTATGGAAAAGCAGGGCTAGTTTAGTTTGTTGACTCAAGCCGGCAGCAAGCCAGGTTGTTTTTTTATCAGTTATCAGGAACCTAAAAAGCCAAGACTTCCTGAGGAAAGAGAGCCAAAGGATTGGAACGGATATTCTGCAGGTGAAGCTGTAAGAATGGGTGGCCAAGCAGGGAGTCCAGGCTAAGGTTTCAGGATAAAGGCATGGCCTAGGTCTAGCAAGAGGGAGGATGCCAACCATAATCCATTGTTACTGTGGTACTCTGAGAGTTGTCTTGGACCCATTTATGTGATGATATGTAAAGTCCACTGTTTTTGAGACTCCCTGAAACAGCATTTTCTGTGTGCTGAAAATACCCTGTACGAGGGATGTGGCTTTAATTGGACATAGGCCCATGGGTCTGATCTGCCCATTGTGTTTCTGGCAGCAGGCTCATTGAAATGCAAACTGTTTCCTTTCTACCCTGGCCTTGGTTGAAGGGAGCTAAGTTTCATTCCTCAGGAGACTGAAATATTTGAAGGAGTTTTGACAGGTGGCTTTCCCAGGTTGCAGTTGTACTGTTGCCAC